GCATGAAAATGAGTTGGTACCATCCCACTGCTACAGTAGCAAGTCCTTTTTTTCACAGAATTAGTGTTAGCAACGAGGTTGTTTGAGAAAAGCAAAGTAGATAATACTGGTATGTAGTATGAAGAAAAGGGAGGGAAATTGGGTGAATTTACCGATTGATTGCAAGGCCCGATCCGAAGCTTCTACGCCGGTTATAGCGGCGTATTCTTGCGTGTTGACGAAGCTGTATGCGCCGAGGGCCATGTTGACGAGGGAGTGCATGATCAGAAGCATGCGGGCCATGCGGGAGAAGGGTGACATTTTTTTTTGCTTTCTTTCTTGTGATTGAATGAGTTGGGATGTATGGTTATGTTTGGATTGGGTTATTGGAAGATGTAGTGTGGAGATTGAATGTAAGCTGGAGTAGTTGATGCTGGGATGTTGACAAGACGACGAAAGTGGGTACCTCTGTTTAGATAAGCGACTGGGATTTTTTCCTGTTGCAAGGCTTTTTACTTGGGTTGGCGCTAGCAAGCTAGGTATGCTGGCAAGCTGCCAATTCGAGATTGGCAATCCTGACGTTACTGGCGTGAGAGTTTTGAGTGTGTCCCTCGTCCGATTTCCATCACAGGGAATACAGGGCATATAGTAAATACAGAGACATGGTACACACAAGAGTGTCATTAATGATATTTGATACGTGAATTAAAGGCATAGTTCATTATACAAACAAGAACGCTCCCATGGATGCTGGATAATGCCGTATTCAACAGGTCGGCTAGAAGAAAGGCCGGTATAAGAAAAAGCCGAAAAGAAAAACGCTGAAGAGTGCTGAAGCATCGCTCGCTGGCAATGTGAGTCGGTAGTTATACAAAAAATGAAGTAAGAAGAAGATATGGTGATTATGCGCCCAGCGCTATAAGCCTGCTCTTTATATCCGTTGGCCTCATCATCTGGTTGATGACCACACTAGACATGGCTCCCATGCTGACAAGGGAGACGTATCCCGGTGCAACCTCGTTCGCCAACACTTCCACACACTTCATTGCCTCGTCTTTTGAGATGGGAGTTCGGATGGAGCCTTGCAGGGCCTGTATAAGAGCGGTAGTAGAGAAAGAAACACGAGATCCAGGTTTGCTGGCACAAAGGAGGGAGAGGACGCCAATAACTTCTGGAGTACGTTGCAGTGCTGCTCTTCGTTGGAGCTCGGCAGGACTAGGGGCAGCGGGTCCAGCTTTGGCGGCTTCTTGTTTGGCGAGGATGCGGTCGAGAAGATTGGTTTTGCGAACGGCAGCGAATTCGGTGATTTTGGGTTGTGCAGGTTGAGTCTGTTGGGTTTGGCCTGTAGTAGACTCGTTTTCTTTGTCTGTCGCTGACCTTGTCTTCTTTTGTGCACGTCCTTGCTGAACGCTTTCCTTGAACTCCCTCAGCCTCTTACGTCCTTTCTCTTGTGAGGGTGCAAGTGCGGTAAGCGATTCGCATGTGGTGATCTCGGCAAGGGGAAGTTGGCTGAGGAACTTTGAGATGGAAGCATCGTCGAGGAAAGTCTCCATGGTTGCTTGCTTGACATCGGTCTTCTTTGGGCGTCCCCGTCCGCGTTTGGGTACGGCAATAGGTCGAGTCGACATCTTCTGCGATGCACACCATTGCGACCACAATGTGTCTAGGCCCTCCTTGAACATTTCTTGCAGGCCTTGTTCGTTCATGTGCGTCATTCCGTTCATCATTGGGCTGTTTTCCTTAATCTCGATGCAAATCTTGCCACGGCCATAGTCGGATAGGTAGTAGGGGTTGTTGGCGCCAGAAGGGCCGTGATCGAGGATGCCGATGAGCAGCCGGACGTCATCGTAAGTAACCTTGCGCTGGCGCCATACCAGAGTCGTAGATGCAGTCAAGGCTTGGAGATCTGCGGGTGTTGAGACGCCATTGTGCGCGTAATGTAGTGAGAGGGCAGTCAGAAATGACGAGTGGAGTGCGAGAAGGTTGACGAGCTCGGCCGGGAGCTGGCCAGGAGCAATGGGCGACATTGTTGAAGATAGAGGTGAGAATGGTACGGCGATAAGATACGTGGATCAATGTCGATAAGAAAAATGCCGTGCGGGCGTCGCTTTGTGGTGTAAAGGAGATGGGGTGCAGTATATGGGTAGAGGGGGTATGTAAAACAGGGAAGGGAAAGAAAGGAAGGAGAGACACGCTTGACGCGTTGCGCGTTCGCGTCGCGTAACTAAGGCCCCACCCATTTGAAACCCAAACGAGCAATTGCCCCACCCTATGGCAGCGCGTCTACCATTCATTCTTCTCCATACACGTCTAGACAATGACGCGCTGAGTTAGGCAATATTCTCTACTATCGAATGATATCATGTTCTCCTTCATCATCCCGCACTTGCATGCAAACGTCATGCAGCTGGTCTCTTGTACCACACGCGAACCACTACACGATAGGAAAAACCAACAGTGGTATATGTATGAGTATTACATTATGCTACCGAGATGAAGGAACTGACGCCCATGTACTCCAATGCTCATGCAAAGTGTCAGAAGGATGCTTCTGCTCTCTTCTGCTCTTACCATCACCACACCAATAGCACACTCATGCCTCATACTTTACTTGCTTCCACCAAACCAGCCGCCGAACCAGCCCGTTGCCTTTGCCGCCTTGTCCTCGACGACGGCATCAAACTTGTTTGCCGCTGCGTTGACCTGCTTGCTGGCTTGGTGCAGCTCTTGTTCAGCAAGCACCTTTGCATGCTCGTACTGCTTTTTCGCATCGGCGCTGTAAGCATCGAACCTCTTCTCCAGTCTGTTCGCCTCCGCCTTGGCTTGGTCGGCCTGGTCGAAGTTAGGGCATGTTGCAAACAAGGCAAGACTATTCCAAACTTACGTATTGTTGTGCGGTAGCGCGTACTGCCTCATAACCCTCCTCAGCTGCCTTCTTCGCTTCCTTGTCCTGGCCAGGATAGTCGCCTCTCAGTCTGCGCGCAGCAGTCGCCGCATCGTCTATGTATCAGTCAGTTTGCGCTCTGTTCAAAGCGACGCTCAATGACGCACGTTCTGCTTTCTTCTCGGCAAGCTTCGGGTCGCCCCCAGCGCTGTAGAGGTAGTAAGTCGCTCCACCAAGAGCAGTAATACCACCGTAGGTCAGAAATTTGCGAGACATGTTGACTGGGATGATTGTTTTTTTTAAAAAAAAAAAAGTTTTTGGATTTGAAGAGGGATTAGATTGTGCGAACTTGCAAATCAAAAATGAAGAATCAGCTCTGTTAAGAAAGAGGGGAAGACTTTCAAGGCAGCACAGCTGGTGTGACGTAATTCCTGCGCAGTTGGATGATCCAACTACGCGTGCGAACTAGATCGCCAAACTAGTGAACTCCTCGAAAAGCATCATGACTGTTGGGAACCACACGCCATTCATTCGGCAGTTTTGCTTCTGCCCACGTGCCTCCGTTTTTCCGTAGCTTTTAGCGCGACTAGCAATTTAGTTGCGCGGTGTTTGACAATCCTCGGGCGTGCGTGCATCGTCCTGGCCACGAACCCCTATACACCAACCTTAGCACCCTTCGCAGCAACGTGTTCACGACCCCGAGCGATACGCTACGAATCGATCCTCGTTTCCTCGTACAAAATCATCAGACTCTCCGGAGCTCCAGACGCAGCGTGGCGCGCCTGTCAAACCACATCGACCTCATGTCTCGGCGATAGCAACGGCGTCCGCCTTCGACCTCCTTCCTACACATACCTAGCTCAACAGCATGGCCGACCAGCCAATAAGCCTCGTCGACCACACAAATGGCGACAATACGCCTTCGACGACCGTCACACAATCCGAGCAGCAACTCACGAACGCCAGCTCCCACATCGACATCCTCTACGAAAACCAGCGCGGTTGGTTCGTGTTCGGCATACCGCTCTTCTCCTCCAAGGCGCTGTGGAACCTAAGAATCGATCCTGCGCCCTGGCAAGATGCCAAGTTCAAGCCCTCGGCTGTCAACATCACAAACGCACAGGTGCCTGACCCGAGCTGGGTATGGGACTGGAAAACTTGGTATGTCGACATGAGCTTGGACGTCGATGAGGAAGGCTGGCAATACAGTTTTTTGTTCAAGGGCTCAGCGTGGCATGGCAACCATCCGTGGTTTCATAGCTTTGTCCGCCGGCGACGCTGGTTGCGAAGACGTGTTAAGCAGAGACTGCCACCCAAGACCAGAGCAAACGCCAAGGAACGCATGTTTGGTGAGCAATTCAGTATTGGTACAACCTTGGCTCGATCCACGACATTTGGCACTGGCAGCGGTCTGTTGGACAGCTCTCAAACCAGTTTGGACGAAGAGATCAGAGATATTGCCACATTGATGAGGAAGCTGAAGGCTGCTGCAATCGACCGCGAGAAGATTGTTTACATACACAAGTTCATCAACGATGGGGGTGAGGAACTACACTATCTTGCAGAACAGGTACACACTCCCCACGTGCGTTTCTTGAATCCGATCACACTAACACATGCAGATTCCTGCAATCATGTCCATGCTTATTTTCCAAAATTCACGCCGCCAACTTCTCTCGACGCTGATGGACCGTTTTGATGCTGCAAAAGAACACCGCGAACAACACAAAAAAGACGGAAAGCCTGAAGGTGAGGCCGAGGAACGCCGAATCAACAACCTGCTCAAAGCCGTCGAGGCAGCGGATAACGAGTGCAAGAAGTTGGAGTATTGGAGTGATATCAAGAATCTGACCGAGGAGGGCAAAGCGGGTAATGCAACAGATCCAGGGATGGGCTGGGACGAGAAATGGCAGGGTCTCGACGTCAGCGGGGCCAGCTATCCTGAGAAATGAGTAATCGCGGGCATTGATTGGAGTTCACCGGAGTTGATGTATTTGCGGGGCGTTGGCGGAGTTGACATTCGGCGTTGGTCGGAGCATTGGCAGCATTGGCAGCATTGGCAGCATTGGCAGCATTGGCAGCGTAGCAACAGCTTGAGCAGACGTAGATTGTTGTGGTAAGCATGAATATTATTACGCTATACCCGACTAACTTGTGTCTTTGCCAATCTCACTCGAATTGGACCTCTGATATCCTCCAAGCTCTCTGCGGCCACCACTTCTCCTTTTTGCATAACTTCAACTTCGCCAGATGCTCGTTTCTCCCACAATAGCTGCCGTATAATGTCCATGGTGTCTCTCCATGTTGTTGCGTTCAACGTGTCCAGCTCCGCGCCGGACAATGCACGTGCGATCTCGGAAGGGCAGATCGTCTTTGGCCAAGCCCGAGTGGTGAGCAGACGATCGGCATGATTTAGGATGAGACTGCGCTGGTTGTCATTCAGAGACATCGGTCTGGTGTCTTCAATAACTTTTTGTGTAGCATGAACGATATTGATGGTCGCAGACAGGGATATTGAAGCTTCGCAGAAAGAACCCTGGGCCAATCTGGGTCTTGAAATCTGGATGAGATCCGTTCGCTAGATCTCTCATCCACCGATCTACAACAAGCTCCCCACCATCTTGGACCGATGTCCCAATCCGTCAACGTCAGAGCGTCCAATCGGCGCGCAACAAACAACAAAATAACCCGACAAATATTTTTTGTTTCGCGCATCTTCCCTCTCTGTGAACCGAGTCTGCCGGCACAATTACTAAAAGAATTGGCGATTTGTGGACTTGCTGTCTATCTTGGTTCTTGTCATGCCGCACCGGCTACCCCACGCCCTCCGAGAGCTAGTTGCCGCGGGGCAGCTTCTCTCCTCTCCGGCGCGTCTCTTATCAAGCTCACCTCTGCCTTTAAATCCTTCGCCAGTCTCTGCACTGCTTGGTCGGACTTCGTCGCGATTCTGTCATACCGGATCATCCATCCCAAAACTTCAAGCAACTACTTCCGCGCAGCCTCTCCAGACCAAACGACAGTATTCGTGGCCCAGAATGACTGGAACAGAGGATTCAAAGGAGGTTCGCAAGTACCTCCAGCAGAGCCATGACCGTATCTTTGAGAACAACAAGAAATGGGCCGAGGAGATGAAGAAGAAGAACCCTGCGTTCTTTGAAAATATGAGCGCGGGTCAAGCTCCCGAGTATCTTTGGATTGGTGAGTCAATCTTTGTATGAAGTAGCCAAAGTCATTCCGGAGAGCCGGCTGGGCAATCAACTGGCTACCCAACTGGTCTCAATAGCCTGGGTCGCCTTGCAAAACACTCAGTTGTAGACCAAATCGAATGAAGCAATCACTGACCGCGCTTCCTCCAGGCTGCTCCGACTCCCGTATCCCAGCCGAAGCCATCACTGGCCTCGAGCCCGGCGAGATGTTCATCCACCGCAACATCGCCAACCTCGTTTGCAACATCGATCTCAACGTCATGTCCGTCGTAAACTACGCCGTGCGCCACCTCAAAGTTAAGCACATTGTCGTCTGTGGCCACTACGGCTGCGGTGGTGTCAAAGCCGCCATGACCCCCAAGGACATGGGTCTCTTGAACCCCTGGCTACGAAACATCCGCGACGTATACCGTCTGCACCAAAAGGAGCTCGACGATGTCATTGCCAATGGTGGAACCGAGGACGACAAGTATAACAAGCTTGTCGAGCTCAATGTGTATGAGCAGTGCAGGAATATTATCAAGACAGCTGCTGTACAACAATCTTGGGCTGAGAATGAGTTCCCCGTTGTGCATGGATGGGTGTTCGGGTTCCATGATGGAATGCTGAAGGATCTCAACTTTGACCATGAGGGTCAGCTTAAGGAGATTCAGAAGATTTACGATTTGACAAAGGATATGTAGATAACATGGCTGTGGTTCTTTGGGCAGGGGCTGGGGGACTGTTGTTGTATAAGTAGATATGAGTTTAGTAAGGAGTTGGCGGTGAGAGATGATCTAGGGTCATATGTAAATACGACCGATTTAGGAGTCGCATGTTCAATTGATGAGTTTGTATCGATCCCCGAGTCTATATTTAGGTGATGATTTCTAACGTTTTCTCTCCAAAGGCATGAGAAATAAGACACTGATCACTCTCAACAACGCAGTCAAAAAAAAATGCTTGCAATATCATTTCAACCCTTTTCTGCCACTAACTACATATCTCTCGTCTAACATTCACCCACGGATAACAGTAGACTAGAACATATTTGAATTATCTCCCTTATACGAGAGGGGTGTTCACCATTGTACTAGATGGTCCTCTTCTGGGATTTAGATATACCCACATGCGCACACACTTAGAAGTAATCAAGCAATCAATCCGAGATACTATATTGTGTCTAATCAACACAGATATTCCTATCGATTGAATCTATCCAAACAAATAAACCAACGAAATCAACCCAAGAAATCAACTTCTCCCAATCTAACTATTAACAACCTGTCTATTCAATACCTCCCTTTTTCCCCGTCGCGAACAAACAACCCGGCGTTTTACCAACACCACACCTGCAAATTTTACTCTGACTGCAAAGGTATTTTTTCGATAACCCGATTCCGGCAGGTTAAGCTGTGTGGCCTGCCATTCTTCTCTGACATAATTGATCTAAGACGCTATATAGCAAACAGAGAGGAAGAAAAAGTCAAGTCACACATCTACAAAAAAGAGGCCTGGCCGTAGCGAAGGGCGTCTAGTACGCGTGCTTTTTTCCGAAGCAGATATAACTAAGAGTCTTGCATGTAAACTCGTACAGTGAATATATTGGAGATGACGGAGGTAGTGAGCCAAGGACAGTGGATTTGAAGATCCGGTTTCTACGGCAGTAGACCCAACAATTATTACTTTCCCGATTTTCTTGACCTACAGCTCTAAGTTGTGGTGCTAAAGAAGTTTTCTTGAAACTGGTCTCTCGTTACGTGATTATTGCAAATCATAAGAGAATTTCCTATATCTACCCTCCCTTCGGACGGCTAATTAATAGTTAACACAAGGCTGTTTAAATGAAATGAGAGTGATTTAGAAGATCTCTACTGCGGTGTTAGCAGTACAAATACAAGATCCATTTTATTAGAAATATAGAGAGATTTGAGTTCGATATGTTTTTTGAATGGCGAGGAGGGAAAAAAATCGAGGCACTCTTTATATAGAAAAAAGTGGTCTTCGGGAAATTATTGAACGGAAAGTCTCCCCTCTTGAGTTTGCTAATATTCTGCGACTTACATAAGCTTACGTTGAATGTGCAGCTGCATAGAGAAAGTTTTCTGGATACGGTTGTCAGCGCCATGTACGCCGATACGACAGGTGGTTTTTGCAAATGATCTGACTGATTTTGTATCTATAGCATGAAATGTGTACGTGTGTCGTGGTATCTACAGTCAAGGTTCCAGCTGAAGCTTAAGGTTGGCTATTTGCTCCGAAAAGTATGTACAGAAAAAACTGTTGTGAGCAAAGTTTTCTGTTATGCCTACGTTGTTCATTACTGTTGAACGAGTGAGAACTCACAACGATACTTTCCATGGTATTGGCTTTGAGAATCTGCAGGTGCTCAGGTTTGTTGTTTCGTAATACGATTTTTTTTACGTGCATTGATATGAGCTAGGCATATAGCTTTGGACTAGAGACGAGTAAGAAAACATAAATAGGTAATGCAGATGCGCAAAGAAGATTGTACAGTTACATCACGCAGTGGAATGTCAATGTCAGTGTTGGTACCTGAAACTCAGGTTCAATAGCACGTCACTAAAATAGATAAAGTTTTCGCTGTTACTTCCTAGTATCAAACAGCCCGTGCTCTGCAGTCTAGTTCCTAAATATGCAGACACTCTGGCAGCACCGATTCATGGGTACACAGCACACACAACGATTCTGTAAAGAAGATACTGTGCTTGAATAAGAACAACAGTGTGTGCAAAAGACGTGTCTTCAAGATTCAGCTAACACATCAGTGATGCCCATAAAGTTGGCTAAAAATCACGCAGTGACGCGGTTCCGCCGATGAAAGGCGCCACCTATGTAGGTATACCCTGACGTACGATCCATGTCGCTATACTAGTGACATCTTTCAGAAGCTCAAGAAACCTGCCTTTCTTTGTTCGCCGACGCGGGTAAGGCAAGCAAGAGATCATCTGCGGGATACAAAAGATTTACATACATAGCCTCAAGCCATCTTGCCCTGCATGACGACAAATGGTACCGTACCCGCAGGGCAAAAAGATTTACAAATCTCTCGACAAGCCATCTTGCCCTGCATGACAACGATGTATACAGGTCCGCGGCAGAAGCAAAAAAAGAAAGATCTCAAGCCCGACGTGGGGGTCGAACCCACAACCTTGAGATAACCAATCGAGTCTGATCAGGACGTGAAAGCTAAGAGTCTCACGCTCTACCGATTGAGCTAGCCGGGCGTTGTTTGCTTACTAATGATTTTTTTTGGATTTGGTCAAAATATCTACGTGCGGACAAAAGGATGGGAATCTTCGGACCGTGGTGACATCCCTCGCTAATGTAAGGTCCTGTTGGTTGGCCGCAACTCCGTTACAAGTCCGCTGCCAAAAGTAAACTAGCGCCAGTCACACCACGCGAACCATGGATGACGCTGACAGATTATGAAACATCCTTTTTAGCGTTAGCGCCCAGTCCGTAAGTGGCGTGCGAAACCGAGAAACAACCCTAGATCTGTGTTTGCTTTTTTGCACAAGGGTCCAGATTGCTTGGTACTCAGTGATCGCGCGTGTGGTATTCGGGTTTCAATGAGACGGTATGGTACGCGGAGTTTGCCAACAGTGTCTGGATGTAAGGCTATTGCGATTGGTAGCCCAATGTTCCGAGATCCAGGTCTGTTCGCGAGTCATGTCAAAGCTCTACCCCTTTAACGATATCCACCCAAAATATCCAAGGCCTTGGAATAGAAATTTCACCGGTAACGAAAGGGCCGAGTTCTGGCACTGAGCACTCAGATCTGTGCGGAGGGTGATGTGGTGTGATGGTAGCGATGCTCCAGATTGGATTTTAGGTTTACGATGCAAAAGGGTACCAAAAATGTTAAATGTGCGATACGTAGCTATACCTCCGTGTTCGGAATCGCATACATTTCATTGGGAAAGTTATTTCATTGTCAGCTTAGCAGATGAGCAACTCTTTGCTAGATATGGTTAGTGTGGCAAGTTGAACCGTCATCATCAGTCGCAGAGGGTCTTCGTGTGGCATACTCTGTACCAAGCCCTATCATAGCAAGGCTACCCTCAGTATTCTCGTATTTCCGCGGAGGCGGTATGACATTTAGCTCATAGAAAATTACCGACTGCCAATGTTGGTGATCACGGATGTGATTCAGCGGAAGCCGACAGTAATCAATTGTCCCGTCCCAGGCATCACAGGCTTTCCGCTGAATACGGTATACAATAAAGTTTATAGTGGGTAGGGATCAGTGGGAGGTAACTGAACATGGAGGTGCTCTTGCATCAACATGACATGCGGCGCGGTCAGCATCTGTTCAAGATATTGTCGGCCTGAATTACCGTCAACAGAAGCCGGGCCACCCGAAGAACCATGTGGTTGTCTCCAGTTTAAGTATACCAACAGACCCATCATTGTTTCGGAAGACGGCGAACTGGTTACCTGTTCAGTTTGATTCCGGAGTTGGAACATCCCCCATACCCACTTCATTCGGAGACGACAATGTCATGGTAGGTAGCAGTAGCATCGGATATGATGCTTACAAGCTCCGTGTGTACAGCGAATGTTACCACATACGTCAATAGCTCCACGAGCCAATGCTTTGATTTACCTAAGATCAACACTCTACTTGGCCTATGCTGCTGTATCCTTGATCCGCTTGTTAGCTCAAAATCTTCTGAGCGAGAGCGTGTGGAGGCTGAATGTCGTACCAGATACACTTGATAGAAGTTCATCATCACTTTGCCGTCTCCTTCCTTGACGAGGTGCGCCCTTGCAGCCCAGTCTTTACTTGACTCCCCCCCTGCCTTAAGGCCGTATTTTACCGTTCCGTACAACATGACTTCGTTAGCGTTTGGACCAAACGGAAATATCTTCAGTGGTGCGTGCGCCCTGCTGGAGACCGTTTCCCACATGGCTTTGCGCAAGGCTAGGATCTCTGGAGCCAAGAGTCAGCCCATCGGGACGAATCAACCGTTGCGGTTCCAGAGAGTAAAGGACTATGGCAGGTATGGAGTGGAGGCTAGATGAAAAAAGCAACGCGCGACAGACCATTTCGGCCTACTGCTATTTTGGAAGCCATGACTAGTGTTGCATCCTTCGTGAAGTATTTGACGTAGTCTTCGTGCGCCTCTGGAGTGTCGGATATGGCGTAAAAGGTCTGGAAAAACTCCTTGTATGAAGGATCAATCGGAATAGCCGGCGGGTACTGCGAGGCGTAGGCGTTCATTTCGTGGTAATTGCTAGAAAAAAAAATCTAGGGCGAATGGAGGCTACAGTTGTTGTACCTCAAACGCCCAGCAAAGCCTCTTTCATCTAAGGTGGGGCTGACGTAATTACTCGATTCTTAGTACGCCTTACGGCGGCTCACCTAACGGGCCGGCGGGAACGGCGTTTTCTTAGCGACATGCAACTCAACCTCATAAACATACTGATCCTGCTCAGTTTCACCAACAACGCTGTGGTCCTGCCAAGTGTTGCTTCTCTATTATTTTTCTTTTGGCAGGGAAGTGGGGAGGGCCAACATGTAATGAGAGTTAAACGTCTCCACGGAAAGGGATGTCACTGTAGCGGCGCCGACCTTAGGACACAGCGCTACAGTACCTAGCGTCGACCACAAAAACAAAGAAGGCACCGCCGGTTTTGGGGCGCGCATCTGCGATCTGGAAGTACCTTTGTAGTCGCTCTACTTTACACCCACGGCCTAATGCGCTTTGCCACCGAACCGACGATGTTCGGTCGAGTTCGGTGTTTCTCGACCCAAAAAGTACTCTCCGAAGTACCTGCGCAAGGGTGCTCAAGTCCTGCAGTGCAATAATACGGACCCCACGTGTCATCATAGCACCCCGTGCATGTATCACAGGAATCCCATGCACTCTCGGAGCATGGGAGAAAAATATTTTCCAGCGCTATTCTCTATCAGCAACAATTTGCAGGGGCTCTCTTGCCTAGTAATCACACCCTCAATTTCGATCGCGATTCACGCTAAGCATATCAATTACAAACTACTTGTTCACCCCCCCATCAACACTAGACGGCCTTCTCAGCCGCCATGGCCGGCGTCTCAAACCCCTACTTTTTCCTTGGTTCAAGCCAGAATGGTTTACTTGTAGCTCCCGAAGGCATGCAGGTCCATGTGGCTGTGTCCCAGGCCCATGCACACGGCTACGCCATGAACTGCCTTTTCAAATCCCAGAAATCGGGAGATGGCCTTCTCCGTCAGCTACCCCTGGTCGGGATCTCTCCGTCAACTGGGCTTTTTCGTGGGCCCCTGTCGATCTGTCAGAATCATTGTGGATGTTTCATGTCTTACTAGACTGCCGTATGCATGTAAGTATTGGAGGGCCCTGCAGAAATAATGCCCAGACTCCCGAAAACTCTCGTCTTACGTGTTGAGAAAGCATACGGCTTGCAACTGCACATCCCAAGCCAACTTGACGTGATGCTTTCCTGTTAGGTTGATGTGTACACAATCATCCACGCAATGATGATGGTGTGGCTCAATGATTGACTTAGTACGATCCAACTAGCTTGGCCGCCGTCGTTCGAACCGGTTCAGATCTCGACATATGAATTTTGCCCCAGGCTAAGATTTGACGGGAGCTAACTCGTCTGGGTCACTATTAAGCAACGTGGGTACTTCTTTGGTCCAGGCTCAGCCGTGAACGTCAGAGTAGACCTCGTCTGTGGCGCACA